TATCGCCGCCTCGATAACCGTCGGTATCGACTCCGCGCGTTCTTTCACACTGCTTACGTTTCCGGCTGATGTATGCAAATTTCTCTCTCTCTCTCTCTCTCTCTCTCGCTCTCCCCTCTCGAACGCGCCGCTCCGCGACGGCTTTCACTCGGCTCATCGCGCTAGTCTATTGTTTATTAGTTTAATCGCTCGCATCGCGGATTGCCATCGCGGGAATGCACGATCCCACCTGCGATAAAGTTGGTCCGAGTCGGCTATAAGCGGTTCCGCGATAAAACGTGCACGTTATACCGAGAATAACGCCGACATAACCTTGTACATTTGACTTTAAGTCACTTCTCCTGGTTGCGTTGGTGTCAAGCTTCCGCGTCTTTAGCGTCGTTTAGTCTCTTCCGTCGCCCTCCCCCACCCGTTCGATTGTTACGTTCTTCCGAATGAATTCACTCGAACAAAAGTGCGAGCTTCACTCGCTCATTTTGCTTCTTGCTTCGCCTGAACGAAAAGTTATTAGAGCTATCCTCGTGTGAAGTGTAAGGCCCCGATAAGGCTGAAAGTAGGATGCCCTGAAAAGGGCTGCTTCATTATTACCCTCGATCAGGTCTCGAGATGAATCTTTTAGGGTTACCTTAGATTTTATGAAATAAGGCTTTGATAGGGAAAGCTGAGAAGGGCCTTGGAAGGATTTTTTAGAAATGTCTTGGATTTAATAAAAAAGGCTTTAACATGGAAATGTTAACGATGTGGGCCTCAGAAGGATACTTTAGATATACGAAATCAAGTTTAGTTATAGAAAATTAATAAGTGATCTGAAGTGTGTAATAAAATTATCATAGTTTAGTATTGTTTTAGTAGGTACGCTTTATCTGATTCTTTTAAAGATTTTTTAATTATACCGTAATTAAAAATAAATTTTATTAGTTTTATCAGTTGCCATTTTCATTAATCTCTTCCAGGAATGTTTCTAGTATTACTTTCGTTTTGAAATGCAGTAAACCTTAATAAAAATACTAGCAGGATTTTTATGTGTAAATAATGCTATATTTTACTGTAAGGTATGCCCTTTTAAACTTTTTAAAATAAAAAATTCTTGTTGTATACCAACAAGGTATAAAGAAATAAGGAAATTACAGTCTAAATTTCGTGGAATGAAAAGGACGAATATTTGTATTTAAGCAATAATAAAGATATTTCCCTACAAGGCCCTCATAATATTGCCTTGTACGGGCTGTTAAACAATTTGTTGCATATCCTGTAGGGCTCTTGTCTTTCTAATCCCTACTAGGGTCCGACTAATATTAGGGAAAAATAACCAGGACCTTAGCGGAGTCCTATTAATTTTTCTATTCGGGTTGCTCTTCTTCTTCTTCACCGACCCTGTCGGGCCGCCTCGTGGCTATTACCGCTTGAAATTCATCCCCGCATCCGTGCGCACTGCGGGGGAAAGAAGTGCTTGGACTCGTCTGGTCTCGCGGGGAAAGAGCACGTCGAAATTGAAAGAGTCAGCAGCGATCATCTGGAAAGTCCGCGAATATCGGGTCGAGCTCGTGAAATGCGATTTCGCCTGGGGGTCGTCTCGTTGCGCGACGCCGCATCAGGTATCTATTCATTTGAATACAAGAGCGCATTCAAATGGACAGATATTAATATGCTTTCGGGCCATGATACAATCCCTGCTCGGCCTGATTGTATATTTCGGCAAAATTGTGTCTCGAGATATTGCCTGGGTTATTCGGCGGGAATAGCAATTTCACCGGGGAATTGTCCCGGCGCTTTCGAATCCCGACATTCGGGAGCGTTCGGGATTTTCCGGGACAATACGCGCCAGCCGCATTTGTTACTCTCGTGAATTAGCGACGACAATTTTGCGCGCACGTCCTTTCGCTAGAAGGAGGAAGCGAGGAGACGTCTGTGATTTTTGAACTCGGCAGATTTATCAGGTGTGCGCACGAGTTTCCAGCGCCAGCCACCCTTGAATGTCTAAGCAAAGTTGTCAGGGAAGAGAGAGATACAGAGATAGAGAGAGAGAGAGAGAGAGAGAGAGAGCAAGAAAACTCGGTGAAGTTACACAGGTTGATATCTAGCTGAGCGAAACGCCACAGCCAAGAGGAAGACACCGCCGACCGGCCGCTAAGGCTCGATCCACACTATCGGTTCGCTCACGATCCGCACCGATCGTATTCCTGAAATGTTCACATTATTGAATCACTCATCGATCCGCTCTCAGTTCTATCCCAGACGATCAGTGTAGCTTCTGCCTAAACATTAATTTCCCTTGAATACATGTTCATAATTAATTTCTAATTATAACACGATATACACGATATATACGTACCTTTTTCAAACGACCACAATTTTTCTTTATTCATATTTTCTTATTCTTATTCTTATTATTTGATACTGCTTGAGAGTCGCGAGAGACTGCGAGAACCGCGAGTCTGCGAGTCTGCGAAAACTGACGGTGACGGATCGATCGAAAGTCCGTTTACATTATCGGTACGCTTCCGGACAACTTCGATCACGCTACGGCAAAATATTCCTCTCGAAGGATCGTTATACCGCTGCGAGATCGGACCGAAACTTGAGCGTTACCGATAATATGAATTACGTACGTTATAAACAGTGGGCAAATATTTGATCGGAGCGTGACCGGAGCGCGACCTGAACCTGAGCGGATCCGATAGTGTGAATCGAGCCTAAAAGTGCCGAAAGTACGTAATTTCCGCCGGCAGGCCGGCCGGCCGCGAGTATTTACTCGCCAAGTTCCTCGCGCGAGTAAATAACTCGCGAGGGGCCCGGAGTAGTTTCTATTAATAATATAACGCGTCCGCGAGATACACGTGCGATGTTCCCGGCGCGCCCGGCGAAACGCTGGCATGTAAAACGCCGGCCGGGCGGCCGGATGGATGGATGGGAGCGCACCTGAATGTTGCACGGCTTGTCGCGGGTTCGCGCCGCGCACGAACCGCCGCGCCGGCGGCGCCGCCTCCACTATTATGTGTCGCGTGCCCGAACGTGAATCTTGGCGCAAGCGAGGGCCGCGAGAGAGCCGCGAGGATATTTAGCATGCCGGCGACGAGCACTCGCGCCCGAACACGACGACGACACGGCCATACAAACGACCTTAGGCGTCTTCGAGCACCTCTCTTCCCCCCTTCTGCCTGCTCCTCCTCGGCCACCTCCTGCACCTCCGGGTTTTCCTCTTACGAGGAGCCCCTTCTCGGCCTCTCGCCTTTTCGGCCATCGCGCGCGCGCGCGAGCGAGTTATTTCGGGACGTGACATTTCGATCCTCCAGGAGCGCTGCTCCTGAGCGATTGGGTTCGAGCCTACAGCGCGAGGAGTCTGTGAATCGGCAGGAGGGAGGGAGGGAGGGATGCTTGCTTGCTTGCTTGCTTGCTTGCTCTTCCGCGAGATGCGAGTGTCGCCTCGCTGTGCGAAGTCTGTTTATATGAATTATTGCGCAACGGTGCGGATTACTTCTTGTCTTCTCTTTTTTTCTCTCAGTGCCGGCCTTGTGGCGTCCGATAATTTCATATCCAGCCTGGTAATTGCGGAGCTATCGGACTGGATAATTGCGGCCATTCTGCTCGTCGTTACTGGGAGGTCACGGTTAAGTCGCCGATGTTTACATAACCGGACTCGCGTCCGTATAATATCCGCCGCCCGAGTCTCGGGGTCGCTGATTATTTGGCCGTCGCGAGATCGCCGCGAGACGTGAAATCAGCGGCATTAATTGACGTGACGCGACGCGACGCGCCGTTAGATTAGATGGTTCCCGACTTCCGGCAGCGATTTCGCGATTCCAGCTCCGGCTGCGCATCGAGCACGCTGCTCGAGATTTTTGCGCGAGGACCTCGGCAGATTTAGCTCGTCCTGCTCCGCTCCCTCCGTCGTACCTTTTCAAAGTGATGCTGCATTTTTGAGCACTTTGCTTAAAAATGGAGGAAAGTCTCTCTGTGAAGTCTTCTCGTGCCGAGATATCAGCGTTCACGTGTAATTTTATTAGCCACCAGATTCCTATTGGCATTTTAACCCTTTAACGCCCGACTTTTTTATAAGTGTTTTAAGAATAAAATTTGAGCTTTTTTGAACTGAGACTATAAGTAGTGATAATCAAGAAAAGTATCAGAATTTTATATTGGTTTCTTTTATCGTTCGTTTTTTGTTTATTGGTAAATATGACTTGGATCCTAAAGGCGATACGAAATGAGCAACCTGTACAGAGAGAAATGAAGGGTAATCTATACGACATAACTCTGATAGTCAGCTTGACATTTTTCAGCTGAAACTTTACTATATTTGTGAGTGAAGTTCATCATTCAGAGCGTCAAGCTTACTATTTCAGAAGAATATCTTATAGATCACCACTTAGATAGTCAATTATCCTTTCATTTTTCGTCGCATAAAAAACTGTAGGTCATCAGGTTTCACGAAAATAGGTTGATTTCTTGATTTTCGTGTCCACCATATTGGATTCCACCATGTTGAATTTCTGTATTCTTTTAATTTCACATTTTGCATCTGAGAAAGCTTCCAAATGTATAAAATTATAACAGACACCAATCTATTCATTTGCATAGTGCACTTCTAGATGTCAGTAACAATGCTAACTATGCCTACTTGGGATTTGACGAAATATGTTATCATGAAAACTGAGCTGAAAACAGACTAAACCTAATCTACATACAATCTATATACCATTTTTTAAAAGAATTCACCTTTACAGTGGCGCAAAGAAAACAAAAATATTCTCCTTTTTTGACTAAGTTATGGATTCTTAAATGCGTTTCTGGTAACTGTGGTTCCCAGTAGACGTTAAAGGGTTAAAGCGATATATGAGATGATATTTAGGATTCCGCGAAGAAACGCGTACTCCATGTTTTCTTTTCTCTCAGCGTGCGCGAGCAGACTGACCTGCTTCTTTCTGTTATTCTTCTTCGTCACCGTTTCGCTCGCGAGACTGCAAATCTGATCGTCGGCGATGCTCGTTTCCTTGTTGCAGCCACAGCACAAAGGGCGATACATTCTCGAATATGTGTGCAAGCAGCTCAACATTTTGGAGATGGACTACTTCGGGCTTCGCTACGTCGATCATTGCAGACAAAGGGTGAGTGCATCTATATGTATGAACGATAAATGAACCCCGGTACGAGGATGGCTGCCGAAACGTCGTCGCGTCGAATTTTAGCCTAGAGTCTCTTTTAACTGTGGTGGTTAAAAATGTTATACGCACGTTGAGATGGATCATGATTGATGACCACAGTTGGCATATTTTAAACATGTTTTAAACATATATTTAAAAAAATGTATGTGTAAAACATGTTTTCATTTTGAAAAGTGTTCGGTGTAAATTTTGGATAAAAAATTATTGACATTTCGTAATTTCAAACATACACGTTTTTGTAGAAACATGTTTTAACATATGTTTAACGTATTTTTCTTAAGTGTTTAGTACAAATTTTGGACGTAAAATTATTGATAATATAAATTTGATTCTTCTCACAAAATATTTATTTTTTTTCATATTCTTGCACATTACAATATTATATACAAATGTATATACATTATTCTATATATATATATATATATATTTATTAAATAATTCACATTTTATTTATGTATATTTCATAATTTTTTCAAATGAAAGGATTGAAAAATGTTTTTCGAGGCTTTCGAAACATCGGTGGCTCAATAAAATAAATCATTTTTTATAAATTCGCAAAAGTAAAGTTTTGTTATTTAAAAAGAAAACAAACAAACCGTTGTACTTGTCTACAACCATTATTTCCTGAAAAGAGATCGATTTCCATTAAAAATAATGGCCACCATGATGAAATATCTAAAGTAGCGCCATTTGCAATTAAGTTGATAATATCATCATTTTCCCCCCTCGAAGCCATAAAACTTTTGCCTGAAAACCTTCTCTTTTACAAGATATTCGCATCTATTTTACAAGATGTATTGAACAAAACGATCTACCCTGTATTTTGCTCTACCCTCGCAGTGTCAGCAGCTATGGTTTCAGAAAGCTAGTAGCTTTTATGGGATAATGGTCTCTTAATATAAGTAATTTGATAAGATACTTAATGGGTTGAAAAAAAAACATCTCGGTCCATTACGACCCTTAATGACGCCGGGTTAATCCAGATAGTAACGCCAAGCCAGCCAACGGTGTTGAAGGTACGATCGAAGCGAAACGAAATTCGAGAACAATGATTACAAGCTCGCTGATTAATTACACGGCGATTGAAACCTTCCGAGCGATCAAGGCGATTTCATCAATTGGCAGTGGACTTTTTTGGATCGTACACGTCCGACAGGGACGAGCAGTGTTAGCAGTCGAGCGCGCAAAATGAGCGCGTTTATCGTCAGGGTTGAGACGCGCTCGCCTCGGTCGTGATTGGCCTCTTCGATCTTTCCGCGCCGCGCGAGCCAAGGTGGAGGTGTTGCTCTTCCGCGTGTACGATGGAACATCCATCCAACTACCGCGCGTTCCTGATGCATTAATAATCACCGCGACAGATCGTACAGTTCGCGATCGACGCGGAGAGCTACCGGAGGAGAGGCCTTCGTCACGCTCAGGGTCGGTAAAAAACACAACGGTTTAGAATAAAAGAATGAAACATAATGTTTCCTTGCTTAAAACTACTTTCTAGGTTTTAAATATGTTTTAAATGAGCGCAGAAAAGTATGTTAACAGACTAGACAGAGTAGGCAATTTTATTCAATACACGCGAATACCTCGCGAAAAGCAGAAGTTTTTCGAGAAAAAGATGTTTCATTTCGGACAAAAGTTTTACGGCTTCGACAGAGAAAGATGATGATATTATCAATTTTATTGAAGATGGCGCTATTTTCGAGATTTCATAGTGGCGGCCATTTTTTAAAAATGGAAATCGATTCTTTCACGAAATAAAAGTTGCAGCTGACGATGAGACGAGTGCAACGGTTTTCTATTTTTTGAAATAAGGAAACTTCGCTTCTGGGAATTCATAAAAGCATTAAAACATGGAAAATATGTGCTTTTGATTTTTTATGAGGCTTGGGGCTAGTCGGTTGTTTAATAGGAAAACTTCTTTTTTAAATAAACTGTGACTCACCTAAATAAATATATGTATAAGATGTGAATTATTAAGTAAATGTAATATATATATATATATATATATACGTGTGTATAATAATTATTTTTTTTAACGATTGTGCAGCAGTGTACACATCTAATAATTTTACGTCCAAGAATTATATTAAACATCTGCAAAAGATACATGTTTAAAAAGAAAACGTATGTTTAAAATTCTCGAGTGTTCGAAACATGTTTAAGATGTCTTGTGTTGAACAACAAGTTCAATACATGCCAACTCTGGTCACGCCATTCGGGTCGCTCCACTGACACGGCCTCAGCGCGCGTGCCTTCGTCGTGATCGTTATTCTTAGGCCACCGGCGGTAATTCTGGCGGATTTAAAAATAAGCGCGCGCATCCTGAAATACAACCGACGATTCACCGCGGCGCGCCGTATCGCTCGCGAACATGCACGCAAAAAGAGGGAGTGGGGAGGGCGACCCTCACGCGCGCGCGCGTGCGCGCGCGCGCGCGCCTTCGGTATTATTTCACAGCGGAGATAACGCGCGCTCCGGTCGCATTATAATAATTGTCGCTACCATTAATTAACGCTGCGCTGCGTCTCGGAGAGCTACGCGCGCAACGCTTTTCGCCGGACGACACGATTTGGTCGCGCAATTCGAACCGATGTGAACCTGGCAGGCAACTTGATAAAAAAAAAAAAATTCGCAATACTGTTCGATTGTATTTCGTTTGTACCTGTTTGTACCACTTTTTGTTTCGTTTGTACCTCGAAAGGTAAAAATATAAGGGGAGAGGGAAGAATAGCCAGCAAGCAAGTGTAAGATATCGCAAAACCAACTGCCAACTGCCACTCGAAAGAGAATCGTTTGTACCCGTTTGTACCTCCCTTCAAATCGTATTTGTACCTCAAAGGAACCGGAAGTCTTTAAGAAAATCTTCTTTATCTTTAAGAAAACGTCCAAGAGATATTTTCGCCAATTTTCGAGATATCGCAAAACGGCCAACGCCATTCAAGAGAGAATCGTTTGTACCTCCCTTCAAATCGTTTGTATCTCAAAGGGACCGGAAGTACGAAAGTAACCTTCCGACAGATTTTGAAGATCCTGTACTTCCGGTTCCTCTGAGGTACAAATTTGAAAGAGAAGATTTTGGAAATTTTTTGAAGATTTTGTATTTCCGGTTCCTTTGAGGTACAAACGATTTGAAGGAAGGTACAAACGGGTACAAACGATTCTCTTTCGAATGACGCGTCGGCCGTCTTGCGATATCTCAAAAATTGGCGAAAGTACCTCTTGGACGTTTTTTTAAAATCCTGTACTTCCGGTTCCTTTGAAATACAAATGATTTGAAGGGATGTACAAACGGATACAAACGATTCTCTTTCGAATGACGTTGGCCGTCTTGCGATATCTCGAAAATTGGCGAAAATATATCTTGGACATTTTTTGAAGATCCTGTACTTCCGGTTCTTTTGAGGTACAAATTTGAAGGAAGGTACAAATGATTCTCTTTCGGATGGCGTTGGCCGCTTTCGGGTATCTTATACTTGCTTGTTGACTATTTTCCCCCCTTTTCCATCTTTTTATTCTGTGAGGTACAAACGAAACAAAAAGTGATATAAATAGGTACAAACGAAGTACAATCGAACCGTATTGCGAATTTCTTTTTTTTTTTATCAAGTTGTTTGCCAGGTTCACATCGGTACAATTCGAAATATATATACAGGGTGTTCAAAGGGAAAGGACTGCTCATTGAGCGAGAACTGCTGCTTGGGAAACGCAGGTCGGAAGTCTTTTCCATCTAATGACTGTCTCTCTCTCGGTTTTGCTAACGAACGAATTTATCTCACCATATCGTTATTGTTACACTTTGATGTTTGCAAAAAGCGCCCCGCATCTGTTTCTGCAGTTTTGGCACCTTCGAAATTGCGAATTCTCTCGAAAATTCCGCGGGCTTTCTTCGAGTCAGCTTGTTACTTCTAATGCTATTATATAAGAGAAAAATTTATGCGAGGAATTATACAAGGGAAAAATTACGCAATAACTGTTATGTAATTTGCTCTCGTTCGCTAGGATAGAAAGGAGAGTCTCATTTTGTGTAATAATAAATCAGTTTATTTGGGTTCGCTGTAAATTGCAATTATTTATGCGACTTTCAAATTCCGATGAGAATAATTTTCTCATTACCGAGACGCTAGTAATGATATATGTAACTTAATTAAACACCAAACTCGCCTTTTTAAAGATGACACGAGACGATTTAGGTCTTCGCGGCGCGGAGACGCGCGCGTGATCGCTGCCGCGACCTTCACGGATTTGTTTTCGGACGTTCGTTTCAGCGGGAATGTTTACGAGACGTCTACAAACAAACAAATCTATGAAGGACGCGATGGCGACCCGTGAAAGCCGGGTCAGGCAATACGCAGGAAAGATGCACTCAGGCAATCGTTTTTCACGCGCCGTTTCCAAACCGTCCAAGCCAAGAGATTGCGCGCCTCTTGGGGAACATTTTGCAATTTTGTGTTCCTTAAGTCTCGATTTAAAGTTTCTTCACATTACAAAAATATTCCAGATACATTAAAGTTAATTCCACATTAAAGTTTCTTTACATTGTAAAAATATTCCAGACGAGCAAGGCTGCTCGCTGATACGTTTGCTCAGGGGAGTGTGGGGGGGGGGAGGGAGGGGGGCGAATGTTTATATCTTCGGGAAAAATGTTTTTCTGCGTGTGTATGTCACGCCAAAGAAGTTATCTCAGAGCAATACTCGCTCATCGATCAGCCTAATGATGCGGTTCATCGCATCGATTGCCGCGACTCCGAGAGGTTAGGGGGCACAAATTTAATTCATCCTGCGAACTTCCGCTCGGTCGCGATGCAGCCTCGCGAATGCATCGAAAGGTTCAATGCGTTTCGATACATGCGCGCGCGCGCGCATTTCGTTTTTATCGAATATGGAAATCTTCATGTTTCCATTCTTGCGGCGAAAATAAAACTGCCTACTCACTGCTACGTTAAAGAAAA